AAACAACATATAAGAAAGCTGTGGTTAGTTGAGTTTCTACTATACAAACATTCATCTTCTATAGGTTTACCTATCTTATGGTCTTTATAAGCTTAGAATATCCTGAATGACAGGCTTACAGTAAATTGCCCAAGGCCTGTTCTGTTGGCTATTATGAAACAGGAGGCAAAAGTTTTCCAGGGTTTACCTATTCTCCTTATCTTATCTTCTCAAGGCTGGGCTCCTCTGCCTCCCAGGCTTACCAGGGCTGATGGGAATGAAGTACCCATGTTGATAAGTTAAGGGATAAGACTGAAGCTAGCTCCCAAGGCCTGCCTTCCCTTTTGGGGTACTGCACAGTTTAACAGTGACCTTCAGAAGATGAGAACCTTGTTTTTGTTTTCCAATGAAAATATCCTAGGTGGTGACAATATTAGACTATGTAAGCACAAACAACTCGGGAGTGGATTTTGGGTGTGTGACTACATTGGTTAGCCCTGAATCACAGCAGAGGCTGCCACATCTCCTAATCACTTCAAGGTGAGCCTGCAGTTTTCACCCTGATATCAGAGCATTTAATATTGCTTGGGAACACACCCTAATTCCTACAGAAACTGGAGTTTTTGATAACTGGATCAAAAGATATGTGTGATTTCTGTAAGATGTCTAGTCCTTTATTCTGCAATGGTAAAAATATGTTCTTCCTAAGTATCTATAATCTTTTACTTCTTATGGTATATAAGCCTGAATTATCAAAGAATTAATGAAGATGTCCATGAGTGATAAGCTACAGTAAGAAAGATTCTGACTGAGGGGTATTAAATCCGCCACGTAAACTTTTTGACAGCTGAGAAAAACATGAAACTAAGCGAAGATATTTCAGTGGGTTCTCTGCCTAGATGCAGGATGAAGCTTTATATCACAGTGAACAGAAACGATTACCTTCTGTGTTAATACATAGTTTTTAACAGTGACTACTCCCAAGGTTCTTTCTGTTAGCTAACCTGAATATTTTATGCTGTAGCTCAGGAACATTTTTCTTGTTTCCATATTTTTAAAGTACTTTTTGATTCATAGCAGAACGAATTTTCACGTAGTATTTTCCCATCTGCTTTTAATTTGCTACTAGAATACCTCTGCCTTCCACTGATCTAAATCCTGTTTTACAGAGAGCTGCTTTACTCGGCCTCACCTCGTCACCCTGGATTCCCTTCGAGCCTTCCCTTCTGACTAATATGTAGGAACGTTCATATGCATATACGTGACAACTGCAACCATTACCTCCAAACGAGCAGCCAACTCTGATGCTGTTTGCTCCGAAACATTCCACAATTTTATCTGCATTTCTCCATGGCTAACAACACACTTTTGTCACTCTTATCCAGAACAATGGGGTTTCCCAGCTTTTGTTTTTCAGTACTCCCACTGTTAAACATTTTTGAATGTTTTTAAAATGTTTTGAAACATCAGCTTCAGTTATATCACTTATAAGTGGACTGCTCTATCATTTTATTATATGCATTAGAAAATGTATAATTTTATATATTATAAAATGAATGCCAAAAGGTGAGACTTCTTGAAGAATAAGAAAAAAAAAATAATGAGAAATAGAATTTCAATTCCTTTTCTTTCTAAATGAATTGCTTAGTATCTCCTTAAGGGAAGTACATCCCATGCACCCATCTTTGGAGACTATTGTCCTCAGAGCAATAATAGTATTTTAATCCATGTTCTTGTCTTTTAATTTGTCCTCTTAAATTCATCTCTATTTAGCTGCCAAGGTGATCCATTTGAAATGTGTACTTGGCCTTGTCATTCCACTGCATAAAGCGATTCAAGGGTAGCCTCTCCCAGGACCAAGTCCAAGCCCTCTTGTACAAAACTTTTCACACCACCCCCCCACCCCCGCCGCCACCTCCCCACCCCTGCCATTACATCTTAATCTCTGTCTTTTGCAACAGACTTCCCATTTTAATAACACGAAAAAGTTTGTAGTTTGGCTCTGCACATCCAACTTTTATATCACTCAGTGTTTTTGCTCATTCTATTCCTTTCACCTGGAATAACACTCCCAATCTTGAATCACCATTCCAAGATTCATTCTTCAGAAGTCATCTCAAGTGTTTTATCTCCTTTTTCAAGAATCTTTCCCAGGGTGATTTTAACTTCTAGATATTATAGGCATAGGGAAAAAGCCTATGGGCTTAATCAAGATCTACTGTAAAGTTTAGCAACCAGAAGGAGGGATAAAACCTGCAAACTTGAAATGAGCACGTGTTTACTTACTTAAGAACATGACATGTCATTATATCAACCAATCAGCTGCTATTGCAACTCAATACAAATGTTCTTTATTTGGGTTATATAAAAATTATATTCATCTGTGACATGTAGAAGCATTTTAGTATGTTTCCTATGATATGGACTAGGACCTCAAAAAGTAGTAGTGCATCCAGGCTACCAATGTTACAGAATATCCTTGGCTTTGTGGTGTTACTATATGGTTCTAAGCACTCAGATCATTCAGATTTTATATTGAAATTATCTCACATGTCTCTTTTCACTTTTTCTAGAATATAGCAATAATCAATTTAGAGCAAAAGGCTCATATACCAGGATTTAATTTCCTCACTGTATTTTGTATAACAAACTGCTCAGTAATCAAAATTTTAACTAAAAAATTATGTGAAACTAAATAATATATATATATCTCAAATACAAATATTCTAAGCATTAAGTAAAATCAAAATTTATAAAACTATAAATATTATATATATATTCTTATTCTAACAGAAAATTAAAATGATACATAAAATATATTTAAATATAAAAAATATACAAATGAAGACAATTACATAAAATTACTAAAAATATTTGATCTTTTAAAAATAATGATGTGTGGTTCCTGGGTGGCTCAGTTGGTTAGGCGTCTGCCTTTGCCTCAGTTCATGACCAGCGGCCTGGGATGGAGCCCCATATTGGACTCCTGAGCCTCACTTCTCTCTCTGCCTGCAGCTTCCTCTGCTTGTGCTTGTGCTCTCTTTCTCTCTGTCAAATAAATAAATAAAACCTTTTAAAAAAATTAAAAAATAAAAATACTGTGTTTCATTTCTTGAGTTTTAAGTATTTTTTTTGAAATTTTCTTAAATGGCTGAAATAATTATTTTTGAACCTATACTAGTTGGAGAAATATTAAGAAAATAGGTATAAACTAAAACCAAATATATTATTCTAATTACATTATCATCAAATAAAATCATTTTTGTTTGATAACTTTAGGAGAGCATTGTAATCTTTCTCTCTGGAATTTCATCCAGTCATTTCACTAATAGTGATATAATTTTGTTTCAAAGAAAGCATTTCTAGTTCATCTTCATTTTCTTTTTTGATTGCATATGGATGGAAAATTCAATACAGGGTTACCTTATCAATACTAAAACTGGTATGCTTGCCTTACATTTGTTCAGAAGTTCTCTGTGCAATATCAACTTTGCTTTGTTTGCTCTCATTTTCTAACTTACCCAGGGTATTATGAAATGTAGAAGAATAATTTTAAGTGAGAGTTCCTTTATATCACTTGTGATTTTAACACTGTATGTAACTCTTTGAGTGGAAATGATGTTCATTTGACAAGTGATTTCACTACAAATTGGTAACTTTTCATTAATGTTGATCTCAAGATGTTTTTATATTTGTCTATTTATTTACCTTTACTAAAGAACTTGATATTTTCATATGGTTTTGAGTTACTGTCTGACATCCTTCCATTTCAAACTGAAGGACTCTTCTCAGTATTTCTAGAGGCAGGTCTGATGTTAATGACCTCCCTCAGCTTTTGTTTATCTGGCAATGTCTTATTTTTCCTTTATTTATTTATTTTTAAAGTAAGCTCCACAACCTTTTGAAGCCCAACATGGGGTTGAACTCATGACCATGAAATCAAGACCTGAGCTGAGATTAAGAGTTGGATGCTTATCTGACTGAGCCATTCAGGCAAAATCTCCTGTCATTTTTTTTTTTATATTTTATTTATTTGACAGAGAGAAATCACAACTAGGCAGAGAGGCAGGCAGAGAGAGAGGAGGAAGCAGACTCCCTGCGGAGCAGAGAGCACGATGCGGGGCTCGATCCCAGGACCCTGGGATCATGACCTGAGCCGAAGGCAGAGACCCTAACCCACTGAGCCACCTAGGCACCCCCTGTCATTTTTAAGGAGAGTTTTGGTAAATATAGAATTTTTGGTTGCCTTTTTAATTTTTTTTTTCTTTCAGTACTTTAAACATATCATTCCACTGCCTTCTGGCCTGCAAGATTTCTACTGAGAAATCTACAATTTTATTAAAGATCCCTTGTATGTGCTGAGTCACTTTCCTCTTGCCACTTTCAAAATTCTCTGTTTGTCTTTGTCTTTTAAGAGTTTGATTATAATGTGTCTTGGTGCTGTTTCTTTGAATGCATTCTACTTGGAGTTCATTGAGTTTCTTATATTTGTATATCCATGTCTTCTGTCAAATCTGGGAGGTTTTGAGCAATTACTTCTTTAAGTAAGCTCTCTAAACACCTTTTTCTTTCTCTTCTCCTTTTAGGACTCCCATAATGTGTGTACTGATCTATTTGATGGTTTCCCATAAGTCCTTTAGAATCTGCTCACTTTTCATAATTTCATTTTTCTCTTCAGATTTAATAATTTCAAATGAGCAGTCTTCAAGTTCACTGAATCTTTTTTCCACTTGTTTGAGTTACTGTTGAACCCCTCTTGTAATCTTTCAATTCAGTTATATTTTTCAGATCCAAAAGTTTTGTTTCCTCCACCTTTAATCTCTTGATCCCAAGTGTCTGGTATGTAGAATCCTTGCAGTTTTCCCAAGTCATGGCTGTTTCTTTCTGCACCTCTTCCTAGTCTGTGATCTGAGTCACTTTTGTCCATCTGTGCTTTAAGTTGGGTGACACATAGACCAGTGCCTCAGGCAGCTTAAAGCCAGGTTAGAAAGTTTCAAATTTGGCCCACCTGTTCTCCTCAGGTCACTGAATGAAACTGGAGTCTGATTGGACTGCTCCTTTCCCCAACCTGGGGGAGACAAGGGTGAGTAAAAACCTCCTGAAATTTTCTACTATTTTGTATGTGTTTTTTCTTGGTTGGGTGTTTGCTTGGTTTCTGTAGATGTCTGATTGAATTCCAGAGTGTCTGCAAAGCTATTCTTGTCAGTTTCAAAGGTTGGGTTTAGTGTTTTCAGAACTTTTAAAGTACCACAATAAAGAGTCATTTGAAATACACCAGTCTGATTTCTCTAGCCTCTATCAGTGTAGTTGTTTCTTTGGGCTTGAATTTCCTCCTTCATGGCTGACCTATTTGCTATGGCCTCTGATGTAGCTGGTCTATGGGGCTTCAATATCCTTTGCCATGGTTAACTACTCTAAGAAAAATTTCAGAACCATTGACTCTGGCCAGAGGCTGTTTTGAGAAATTTTTATCTTTCTGCCAGTTGGAGAATGAAAGAACTGTTTAGGTAGAGACACCACCTAATTCAGAGTATTCTTCCAATTATTTATATATATATATATATATATATATATATATATATTATTTTATTTATTTATTTTTTTAGGTGGGGAAGAAGAGGTAAAGTGGAGTTGGGATGGGTTGAGTGAGGGAATTGCAGGAGCAAAATAGAAAAAGGCCTGAATGGGCTTTAAGTGAAGAGTTCAGGGATGCGGGGTTGGGAAGGACAGGGAAAGGGGAATGATGAGCAAAATTATTCACTCATGCTCAGAATAATGTTATTTCCTCTATTCACTCCTTGCATTCTTAATATTATAAAATAACATGATCTATACCATATGGCAATCTGATCCATCTTTGTAATTCTGGTATCTAACAGGGCATATTAAACACTTAATTGGTGCTCAGTGCATGTTGAACTGAAATGACAATTATCTAGTCTTAAAAGTAGTTCTGAATACAAACCTTTAGTATATACCTTTCCCACAAGAAAGTTATTTATTATTAAATAATGTTACATGAGTCTGTCCATAAAGTATACGACAACTACCTAAGGTTGAAATATGTGTGAAAAACATTTGTAAATGCATGTTACTTTTATCTCTATGAAGTATGAAGGAGATTCTGGGGATGATGAATATTATTTTTTCCTTAACATAGAAGTTTCTAATTCTTCTATTTTTCTCTCTTTCTCAATTAGTCAATCAGCAGTACTGAGGATGTGTTTGCTCAGGATTTTGCAAAGTGTTATCAGAAATATTAAGAATGTCATAGTTATGGTCCTGGGAGAACAATACAATAACTTGCTCTCATCTCATTTGGTAATGAGTTTATTTTTTTCTAAATGAGAATTCTTAAACTTCTGTCCTGTTTTATTTTCATTTTTGATGAGTGAGATATGGAAGAAAGTGGAAGAATAACCAAATTTAATTTTCTTTTGAGAGACAGTCTTGTGTATAGGAAAGGGCCTTGAACTCAGCAGCAGCATATCCAAGTTCTAGCCTTAGCTCTTTCACTCTTCACTGATGTGTTATTGTTCAAAGGAATTTAACTCTTCATTTTTTTAGGTTAAAATAAGTATAACCACAGTTCCCTTACTAAGGAAACTTTCTGCACTCCTAACAGAGTTTCGGGGAGTCTGAGTCAGAACATTTGTGAGAAGAGGCTGTAAAATGGATTGTTGTGGTGGTCTTTCCCTTCACCTGCTGATTTGTTCTGTTTTTTTTTGTTTGTTTGTTTGTTTGTTTGTTTGTTTTTCTGTTGAAGGAAACACTCAATAAATTGAAGGGCAGAAATTGGCATCACTGAATGCCCAAGGTTGTAGCCCATGGAGAGCATAAGTTGCCAAGAAATCTTCATGTATTGGAAACAGGAATTTTGAAGAGTGTGTGTGTGTGTGTGTGTGTGTGTGTGTGTGTTATGAGATCATGTCTCCCCCCAAGCCTCACAATTCTCTAGGGGCTTTCTAACCACTTAGTATAAAATCCAACATCCTTCCTATGGCCTTCAAGACCCTTTCTCTTACCTCAAATTTATTTCCTCCTCATTCCTCTCTACTCCTACATCTTTGTTGTTACACAAACATTCCAAGCCCATTTCCTGCTCAGGGGTTGTATATTTTAATTCTCCTTTCCTAATTCTGTCATTTGCATGACTCATATTTTCTCTTTATTCAGGTTTCTACTCAAAGGCTACCTCTTCCAAGAAGCTTTCCCTGATAATTCATCTAAAATATTGTTTCTTGTCTTTTTAGCCCCATAACCCAACTATATTTTTGTTCTTAGTACCTAATTTTACCTCTCTCTGTTTTTTTATCTGCACTTGCAATTATTCTTATCCTCCACTAGAATGTAAACTTCAGAAAGGCAGGAGCTTTGTCTGTTATTTTTCCAGATCTGTGTTCAGTGCCTGACACATTATAGATGCTGAATAAATAATTGTTGAATGAATAAATGACTGGCTGGATGAGCAAATAAATGTAAGTGTACATTCTGTGAACTCTATGTAAGATTTGCAGCCAAGTCTGTATTTTTGGAAGGATTATCTCTTGTTGTAGGTTAAGCACCTGATCGTAGTTAATAGCACTTAGCTTTTCCCACTATTTATAATATCGCACTCTTTTGCTCTTGCCTCAAAAGCCTGAATGGATTCTTTTAAGCCACTGCTTTGAAGCCATTTGTATATTTTTCTAAAGATGTTTAATGAGTTGGAAATAACCATGCATGAAGCACTTTTAGTGTAGCCTTTATAAAGTTAGCCTTTGCATGTAGAAGTCTTGTTAGATAACTCACTGGATAAAAATGTATTCATTTATATCAGATTGTTTCTTTCATGAGGATGCTTTTCAAGTAGTTTAAAATATGAGGTTATAGCAGAATGACAAGACACAGATCCCTAAAACACAGAAATTCAAACTGGGCTCAGGCCGAACTCTATGGGCAGTTTTCCTGGCAGCATCACCACATAGGCAGTTAGAGGCAACTCTTCGTATGAGGCCGTGGCTTGGCCTGCTGGCACAGCTGTCAAGGTTGAGGAAAGCAAAACTAATCGTAATGGGTGAGATTCCAGATTTTAGTGCCCTAAACACTTATGAGAGTAACTGCACTGTAAGCAGAGGAAAAATTAGAGAACATAGGAAATTATGGAGAACTTAGCACAGTTGTATTGACCCTGACTTGGCTACCACAGTAGTGCTGAGTTTTGTTATGATGGCAATAATTTTTTAGCAGTAGGACATGGCAAAGGGTGCTGAGATACAAAGGTGAGGAGCAAAAAGGGGAAGTCTATAATTCCCTATTAGGTAAAGAGTGAATGTGCAGACAATGTGTAGGTAAACAGATACAACCATGTTTACTCCTTAGTTAAGAGTAAAACTGTATAGCACAGGCACCTGGAGACTTTACAGAGGGAGGGAGACACTTTCAAAAAGTCATTCAAAAATACGTAGAGTAAGAGAAGAGGTACCAGGCAAGAATTTTTCTTGCAGTCTATCTTCTTATAGTTGAGGAGAATGGTTTATTCCCAGGTTTGGCCAGGAAAATATTTATCCTAATTTTCTTTGTTTGCTTTCTTCTTTTGGAAAAGACAACTTTGAAAGAAACGTTAGTCTGCTATGCTAGGAAGTGACTTGCTGAGCTCTGATATGACAATGGAGAGCATTGCTGTGAGCCAATCAGGTGCTGCCTGTGGAGATGTTTTTGTTTGCAGCATTTTCACACATACTTATTCAATAAAGCTTTTGTTTTACTGACATTGGAAAACAGTGCACTGCATTATGCTGTGATTTTGAAGTGACAGTGTCAGTGGGACTAGAGTAAAAGATTTGAAGGGAATTGAGGCTGAAAATGAAAGCTTTGTTTTTGCTTAGTTAGGAAGGAAAGTTAAATTTAAGATTTTTTTCCCCACTCTTGCTTTCACCACCGGAAAGACAAAAACAACCAAATAGTAAGAGAACAACAGCAAAACCAAACTTGTGTCTCCTTGCACTATTTTAAGTGAGAGACTATAACTCCAAATCCATCTTTGTGTTTCTTGGGGAAATAAAATTTTCACGACTGTTCATGCCACAACTTATGATAGGCAAGACATATTTAATTATCAATAAGTAATATTGCTCAATTGAGTCAAAACTTGACATTCTGAAAAGTGCCTGTTCAAATAAGATAAAGTGATATTTAACCAGCAAAAAAACGGTGTCTGTTATCAGGGTTCCTGTGATCAATCCAAATCATAAAGAATTTCTTGCTTATATCTGAGTTGTATGCTTAAAACTTAGACTTTGAAAAGGTAAGGCAACAAGTAATGACGATAAATCCACTATAGGACAAATCGCTGTCCTCTGCTACAACTCTGCCCCTGGCGTTCTGATTGACTTTGGTGTGCTGCAGAACCTTGGCAGGCCTTCCTCTTCCTCATCGGATTGGATGAGAGAACGTAACTGCACTATGTCTAATATGTCTTTCTGTTTGACACTCTATGAATCACCTTGTTTCAGAAAATAAGTCCTCCAAATGTATGCAGTAAATTCAGAGTTAAAATATTATTGACCTTCACATTCACGGAAAGAGGAGGTGATTGTGGTTCTCCTAACAATGCTCCCACAGTTCTATTTTTTGATCATAGCACTCATGTTAATTGGTAATTGTTTCATATGTCCTTGTCCTCCATTAAATTCTGATTCTTTGCATTCCTGATATGATGGTTTTTCCCTTCTTAAAAAATAATTGCCCCATGATAATGATCTTTTATCACCTTTTTCCTCTTCAGATTCTCAAATAATGTATCATACTGTTTCATTACTTATCCTCTCTATTTTTCTAATTCCTGATGAACAATCACTAGTCATTTTTTTCAAAATACTTCTCAGTGGCACCTGACCTTGTCACTTGCATCCTACCTTATAGGAATTAATTCTCAGTCATTCCTAATATTCACTGCAAGCTCCCCAGCTTGCAGTGAACATCATTCTCTGGTATTTTCTGGGAACTGAGGCTTGACCTCTTCTCTTTACATTTTTTCCCCAGGCTCCTAACTGATACATTTGAGTTCTAGATCCATCAGATAACTTATAGTTCTCAAATTAT